GGCAGGAAAAAATGAAAAAAAAGCCCCACAGACTACTGACTCTGCCAGTGCACTTGATATAGGAGAAACTGTGCATTCAGATGTCTATCAGTTATGGTTTGAAAGACTCATCTATCTTCTGTATAGGCATTATCAGATAGTTTATGTGTACTTCATGCCATTATCGTGGTCCCCAGCAGTTAATTTGTCTGTATGGAAGTGATGAGGCTGCCTCAGACAGCTCATTTGGGGATGTTTCCGGTGACAGTTTAAAAAGCCATTACACATCATGTTTCTTCTGCAGCTTTGGTGTGTGTTCACTTGGGGTCTGCAGAGAAATGTCCCGAGCTAACCTGAGCTGCTCTGCAGCCACAGCCCATCAGCTGGGGTTTGTGGTGAGGTCCTCTCACAAGTCAACACTTGAATCTTGGGCCCACAATAGCAGTCTAAGGGGTGAAGCTGTTCCCTGAAAAGCCATTCTGGAACAGCAGCTTAGTCTTGCTGCCTCCTTTGGTATTCTCAGCTGCTGCATCTCCTCACCGACAAGTGCTGAACAGGGAAGGAACAGAAAAACATTTCAAAAACTCTGTTACTGCTACTGCAGCTCTTGTGTTCTTCTTGATGCAGTGGTGGCTTCTGAAGCTGCAACAGCTTGTGCCATCAGCCTCCCCCTCTGTGACAGGTCATAAAATCCTTGGAGTTGGAAAGGACCTTTGAAGGCCATCTAGTTTAACTCCCTTGCAATGAACAGGGACACCACAGCTAGATCGGGTAGCCCAGGGCCTGATTCAGCCTTGCTTTGAAAGTCTCCAGGGACACCTCTTGTTCCTCAGTTCTGTCCTTTGAATGTAGCAGTGTCAGCCAAGAAAGTGGTAGGCTGCGATGCTTGCCTGGGAGTTTATGAGGGTAGTTTTGGGGAGAACTTCTCCAGTGCACCAGAGAGAAGCAAAGATCTGCAGTGAGAGCTGGTTCTATGTTATTCATTGTGGTATTGGCATGCTTCACCACTGTTACTTGGGCCGGAGGAATCCCAGGCATCCCTACAGACTGGAAGGAGCGGTCCTTGAGAGCAGCCCTGTGGAGAAGGACCTGGGGGTCTTGATAGACGAAAAACTTAACATGAGCCAGCAGTGTGCCCTTGCGGCTCGGAAGGCAAATGGGATCCTGGGCTCCATCAAAAGTGGGGTGGCCAGCAGGGACAGAGAGGTGATTGTTCCCCTCTACTCTGCTCTTGTGAGGCCCCATCTGGAGTACTGCGCCCAGGTCTGGAGCCCCCAGTACAAGAAAGACAGGGAGATGTTGGAGAGGGTCCAGAGGAGGGCCACGAAGATGATCAGGGGACTGGAGCACCTCTCCTATGAAGACAGGCTGAGGAAGCTGGGCTTGTTCAGCCTGGAGAAAAGAAGGCTGCGGGGTGACCTCATTGCAGCCTTTCATTACCTAAAGGGAGCCTACAAACAGGAGGGGAATCAACTCTTTGAAAGGGTGAGTGACAGCAGGACAAGGGGAAATGGTTTTAAGCTGAGGGAAGGGAGATTTAGGTTGGACGTCAGGGGGAAATTCTTTACGGAGAGAGTGGTGAGGTACTGGAACAGGCTGCCCAGGGAGGTTGTGGATGCCCCGTCCCTGGAGGTGTTCAAGGCCAGATTGGATGGGGCCCTGGGCAGCCTGGTCTAGCATTAGGTGGAATGGTTGGTGGCCCTGCGTGTGGCAGGGGGTTGGAGATTCATGATCCTTGAGGTCCCTTCCAACCCTGGCAATTCTGTGATTCTGTTACAAAATTGCTCTGTTCACTGATCTGTCTGTTGCAGCAACGATGCTGTTATTGCCTGTTGCTTGGATGAATCGTCACTTAAAAGGTGCTTTGGGATTGCAAATATATTCCAAGGTCTTTGAAGGTAATATTTGGTACATTTTAGCTTTTTGGGGTCAAAATGAGACTTTATCCTTTCATTCTACATTCTTTACATGACACGGCGGCACTGTGTGTTTTCCTCCATGTGCACATATATGTTAGTGCTGCCTGTAGGCGGCAGTGCCATGGGGACTGGCAGGCCATGTTCACATCCCACATGGTGCTGCAGATCTATCAGACCAGAATTCTGCTTCCTGAGTGCTACCCTTCCATTCTAATCAAGGCATTTAATCTGGATGTCAGAATGCCTAGTTGTGCAGTATCTGGCCTCTTGAGTAGTTTTTGGTCTTACATGTAGCTGCAGATGGTACTGGCAGCAGCAGAGGTGTTCTCTCACTGGTGACCTCACAGCAGCAGTCCTTAGTAAGGATCTGTATTGTGTTGAATGGTAGAGCAAACTACTGGCTTACACCCAGCAACACTTGAAAAAAAGTATTTCAGAAGTTGTGTTGTTTATCTGAAATAGTTTATCTTTCTTCATTTAACTGGCCAGGAATACACTTCTCAAGTAGGATGACGTTTTGAGAAGCTTGAGAGTAGAAGTTTCCATTACTCATGTGACTTTCCCTGTGGGGAGCTGTCACAGTAATGGCTTGGTGGTTTTTCACTTAGTGATGAGCTTAAAAATTAAATACAATCCTCTATAATAGGGTTTAAAGTGTCTCATCTGAAAGCTAAAATGGAGATTGTGGTAAAATGACATGTTTGCACTTTTGGATGGGGTTCTGTGATTTTTGAACACACATATTTTGAACACACAAATTAGAAATGAACTTGATATGATAAAGCATTGTAATTGTGTATTAACTGTAAAGCAATGCGAGGCACTGGAATGGGCTGCCCAGGGAGATGGTTGACTCACTGACCCTGGAAGTGTTCAAGGAACAACCAGATGTTGTACTGAGGGACGTGGTTCAGTGGGCAACATTGGTGGTAGGTGGATGGTTGGACTGGATGATATTGGAGGTTTCTTCCAACCTTGGGGATTCTATGATTCTAATAATGATCTAATGGCATGGAAAATTACAATGAAATCTGAAAACAGGTATAAAAGCTGTGTAGGAATATAAAGCTATGGAGAGATATCTAGTGATTTGCTTACTGTGTTTTTTATGGTAACAGGACTGTTATGTGTATATTGTAGGATTAAGGAGTTCTTGTAAAATGTATTTAAACTCATTCAATAATGTGAAATGCTGAGTGTTATCGAACTTTGGCTCAGGAATGTCTACCATTGTGACTACTCTGATAGGTCTGATTAGTCTTTGCTTTCAGCTTTCTGTAGTATTCTGGTTATAAAAGGGACCTTTTCATATTAATCTAAGTTAAGTTTACGCTGGCTTTTTTTTTTTCTTTTCTTTTTTTTTAAGCATTAAAGTGAATCAATTGAATGAATATTTGAAAAAGGGACATCTAAAGACTATAGAAAACCTTATTACTAGAGAAAAAAAAAAACAAGTGGGTAAATTGAAAGGTGGATAATTTTCCTATATTAAAAAAAACCTGAAAAACAACAACCAGATGTTGCCACTCTCCTGATACAATTCCCGAAGAAAATCTGTTTGTAGTAGTGGAGCCTGTGTTGTTCCAAGTCACTGCTTAATTTCTCCAAAAAGATAGTATTTCAAAGGCATTGATTATTTAAATGGAGTAAGGAAAGTGAGTCTGTAAATGCTGAACTCAGAAATACAGCCGGGATCTGAAAAAATAATTATAAGCACAAGTAGATGTTATGATGCGCATCGGAAGATGTTTCTCCCACCTGGTGAGTGACAGAAGACTGAGAATCTCAAGGTGGTGTGAACTGCAGACAGTTAACAGGGAAAGTTCCCGAAGCTATCAGTTAGCACTTGGATGAGGATCCTGCTTCAATTACTCAGTAATAACCTATTTTTGATGGTAGTGAGATTGTACTATAATTAAAAGCTTGGCTTTGGTGCTCATTACCATCTTCCTTTTCTAGCAGTTCAGTCTTCTGGTGTGTGGCAGATGTTGTTGACTGAATCATTTATGATGGTTTATCTGGATACGTTCTAAGTGATCAGTGTGTTACACTTCTAATGCAGTTCTGTTCTTCCTCAGCTCCTGCTCTTTACTTCCCTTTAGTAGTTTTAAAGTAATCAATTTATTCCTTTTGTTATCTAAGAATAGTGACAGCGGAGCTACATGTTTTGTGATAATACCTTGCAAAAAAGCAGATGTCCATAGATGAGTAGGTTCTGTGTTATAACTGGGGTGTTGGGAAAGAAGTAAATATGATAAAAATTGCAGCTGTGAAAAAGGGAAAAGTCATAGAATGGTATTTAAGAGATTTTATACTGGCTTGAATGGCTGTATCAATGCCTGATTTTTTGCAGCAGCTACACCAAGTGCTTAGGATGAATTGCTGCATATACACGTGCTGGATGTTCCACTTGATGGATTTTAGTAAATGTGCATTGAAGCTGTTCATTGTTGTTTGCATGCTTTCTTTGGAATGTTGTTTTTGAAATTCCTGCTCTTGGAGGGAAAGAAGTTATGATTTCACACGTGCAGTTTTATTAATTTCTTTGTTAATAGTTACAGTGTTTGAATGGAAGGGGGATGAATGTTGTGTAAGCTAACTTAAATGTCCTTCCTTGAATGGTGGATCCAAACATGGTGAAGGGAAAGGAAATTTATTCACGACGTTTATTCATAGCCTTGAGAATAAAGGTTAATCTCGAACACAGAAGAAACAACTGTGTTTGTTTGAACTCCATTTACATGACTATTTTGCTAGCAAAAACAAGTAATGGTTTTGTTTCCTGAAACATCATTGAGTGTTAGGGGAGCTGTGTGGGAGAGGTGATCTCCATAGGTATGGAGAGCTTTGAATAACTATAACCAAACAATTAATTTCATGAGAGAGTGTTGAAAACAAGATGTCTAATGAATATTTAATTGTCATTAATATCTCCAAAGGCTTCCTTGGGTTGAGATGTTTTAATATCTATTTGTAAGGGAAGTTGATCAGATAAAACTGAGATGATACACTATTGTTTTGTAATCATCTGTCTAAATATGACACTTCTTAAATGGAAGAGATGTTCCTCTAAAGTGTTTTTCTGTTTATTTTCTGTTTAAGATAAAGCACCTTTGTCGAAGAGTCTGTTATTAGTCCCAAGTGCCATCTCGATTCTGTTGACTCTGCTCTTCCAACATTATCAGAAGTTCTTTGCATATAACCTACAAGCTATAAAAGAGGATTTTCAGGTAAGGATCAGTTAATTTTCTGTGGAGAGACTGCAGAGTACTCTCTTTTGTGCGTTTTTTCCTTTCTTTTTCTCTTCTGATTCTTTGTCTACTGCTGTAGACCAGCTTGTCCTTAGCTTTTAAGTTAACCCAGTAGGCCTTTACCTGCTTTTTGTTTGAAGTGAGAAAAACTGATCTGAAACTGTCAACATAAGCCTTTCACTTCTTTCTTTTGCCTGGGAAATGATTGTTTGTGTCATCTCTCCTTGCAGTTGGGAAGCTTGCTTTGAGTGAAGTGTGACTTAACCCAAATAGTAATAGAGGTATTTTGATATGAATGTCAATATCCTCTTGTGCTTAGTTTTTTTGAGGCTGGAGAAGACTATTGCGATCAGCTACTCTTGATAACTTACCATTCATTTTAATGACAGAGGACATAAATTTCACACTGTACCTTCTGCTATAGTGAATTGTGAGAAATTGAAATTTTTCTGTTGAAGAGAACTGCTGTTCCTCATCTACAAGCCTTAAAAAATATTAGACCTAGCTGGTGATTCTGCATGTTGTTGCATTCTGTGATCTTTCTTGTCAAGTACGAGAGCTGTGTTACCTTTAATGAGCCATAATCTCATTGTAGTCCTGGAGATACGATGAGAATGCTGCAACAGGCAGGTTCAGGCTCTTTAGGAAGAATAGGCCAGGTAGGCAAGGAGTGCAAAAGAGGAGTGGGACCGTGCAGAACTTTGTCTTGGAATGGATGGTGGGGGAAGTTGAAAATTTGTGGGTCAGGATTGGTGGGCAGACCAGCACAGGCAACTTTGTGGTGTTTACTACAGACTCACCATGTGATTATTAAGTAGATGAGGACTTCAGACAATTTAAAGAAGCCTTACATTTTCAGGCCCTGACTCTCATGGAGGGATTTAACTATGCTGACATGTGCTTGCGGGGGCCAATACAGTAGAGTTTCTGAAAGAGGTTTCTGAAGTGCGCTGGTGACAAATTCCTAGCAGAGATATTCAAGGAGGTGATGAGGGAAGATGTTTTGACCAGATCTCTTACTTAAAACCAAGAAAGGTCTGACTGGGGATGTGAAGAACAGGTATGGTCTTGGTTGCAGTGACCATGAGTTTCCTGATGGAATTCAGGGTCCTGAGAGGAGGGAATAAGGCAAGTTGCAGGTCTGCAACCCTGGACTGTAGGAGAACAAACTTGGAAGACATTTATGGAGTATAATATCCATCACAAGGAGTTTGAGTGGGACTCTCCTTCCCTTCTACTCAGCCCTGGTGAAGCCATATCCAGAGTGCTGTCCTTTGTTCTAGGTTTGTGATTATAAGATAGAACTGGGTACATGGGTACAGTCAGGAGCTGGATCATTTGACGTACAAGGAGAGACAGGGATTGCTTAGCCTGAAGAAGAAGAGGCTTAGGGTGGATTTTCCAGTATGTGTGAATACCTAATGGGAGAAGGAGGGATAACGATGAGGGTGCCAGACTCTTCTCAGTGTTGTTTATTTACATAACAAGGGATGATTCATTGAAACACAATGAATTTCACTTGAAGAGAAATATATTTTACGGTAAGTCTGATAGAATGGAGGAACAGGTTTCCCAAACAAGTTGCATAGTCTCTATTCTTGGTGTTCAAAACCAGTCTGGAGATGGCCAGTTAACATCCCCCTCTAGCTGACTTTGCTTTGAACAAGTGTGTTGGACTGGACAGTCTCACCTCCTCCATTCTCTATTTCCATGAAGCAGTGCCTGACCAAATGATTACTTTTTTTTCTGTGAGGCAGGTGGTACTGTGAATAAGGAGAAATCAACGGATTTTGTATACTTTGACTTTAGCAAGGCTTTTAACCCCGTCTTCCATTGTGTCCTTGATTTTGTGCCAAATTGGTGAGGTATATGCTGAATAAATGGATTAATAGATTGATGGAAAATTGGTGTTGTGGTTATTGGTACAAAGTCAACCTGGCGGGTAGTAATTAGGGGAGGACTTCTCAGGGTTCAGTACTGGAACCAGTACTGTTTAGTGACTTCATTAACTACCTGAATGATGGCAAGGACTGAACTCTCAGCAAGTTAGTGGGTGACCCCAATTTTGGGGTGTGGACAGTATGCCGGAAGACAGGGCTGCTGTTGAGAAAGACCATGGAAAACTGAAGAAATGGGAGCTTTGTGAAGTAGAAAGTCCTTCTTCTCTGGAATAGAATAACTCTAGGCAGTAAGAGTGCAGGCTGGAGAGCAAGTGCTTGGGAAGCAGCTCTGTAGAGGAGACCTACAGATCTTGGTGGACAACAAGTTAAACAGGAGTAAGCAGTGTGCTCATGCTGCCACATGAAGAAAACCAACCACTTCCTGGGCTGTGTTAGTGACAGTGTGGCAGCAGATCCAGGCAAGCCATCCTTCCCTGCTAGCTGACATAGTGCTCCAGATGTGGTCTCACTAGTACCCTGTTCTGGGATCATCAGTGCAAGAAACATACGAACACCACTGGAGTGGGTCCACCAAGAATGAGAGAGGGTTGGAGCATGTGATATACAAGGAGAGACTGAGAGAACTTGGTGAAAAGCCTTGAGAAAAGAAGGCAGAGAGGAGATACCTTAGTCCTGTCTGCAAAGTAACTGATAAAAAACTATAGAAGAGCTGGAGCCAGACTCTGCTTGGAAGTGCACTTTGATTAGAATAAGAGGTAACAAACACAAGTTGGAACTTAGGAAATTCTGCCTTGATAAAAATATTTGGTTTATTTTTCTTAACTGTGAGATTGGCCAAGTACTGCAACATGTTGCCTGGGGAGGTTGTGGAGCTTCCATTTTTTGTGTTCAAGTCTTGACTGGACGTGGTTTCAAGCAGACTGAACTGATTAAACCTACTTTGAGCAGTACACTGGTTTAGATGATGTCTGGAGGTCACTTAAAAATATTTTTTTGATAATCTTTACAATTTACTAGGGTTAGTGTTTTCATTTTTATTTGTAAATGCGAACTAGGATCATGAAAATCGAGGTTGACTTGATTGAAATTGTAGATCTATTTTAATAGGTAAACTTCTTGTTTGAAAACATTTTTAAAAAGTCTTCTTAAAATCTCTATAGAATTCTAGTTCTTTATTTCTCTCTTTTAATGTCATACTGCCTTCCTGCTATCTGACTTGTTGTCTTATATTCCTTCACTCTGAACATAAGCTCTCTGAAGAATCTCTGTGAGAGTAGAGTGACTTAATGTAACGATCTTCAACCTTCTAGATTTGGAGACTTGTATGTGGGAGAGTGATATGCCTCGATCTGAAAGACACATTCTGCAGCAGTCTGCTCATTTACAACTTTAGAATATTTGAAAGAAGATACGGCAGCAGAAAATTTTCAGTAAGTTCTAGAGTTGCTTTTTTCCTTTTATCAGAAATTACTTTCTATACTGTTTCAAATCTTCTAGTCTTGGATTAATATTGTAGTTTTTATTACTAATATTCCATATAGAAATACACATTTAAGAGTTTTAAGGTGATTTGGGTTTCCGTAAGGCAGAATTTAAATTCAGCTTGCAATCAGTGGATTATTCTAAATTTGCATCTGTATCAGTTGAGAGTTACTGCACCCACAGAATTTATTTTTGGTAATCAAACTCTTTTTCATTCTTCAGTATTTAAACATTGACATCTGAATTTATGCTGTGCTAAATATTATATTTGTCTTGACTGAACTAGTGTAGTGATTTTCTTATTTATTAAGAGGTATATTAAAATCTTGTTTTTAAGCAATTGAATTAAAATTAACCTTTTTCTTTCTAGTCCTTTCTACTGGGTGCTTGGACGCTGTCAGCTTTGTTTGATCTTCTCCTTGTAGAAGCTGCTCAGTATGTATTTGGCATCACCATCAACAGCTTGCCTTCTGGTTTGTAAGTAGCTCCTAGTGTTATTTTAGATAGGGTTTTAAGGGAATATTTTGTGTGGGTTTGAATTTAAAAGCCTTTCTTCATGTAATCTTTTAAATTAAGTATAGTCCTCTTGAACTCCAGTGTAAATGTTTTGTGGTAGAAATATTTTCTAACACTCATTTCCTAATTGTGATCTGAGGTTAAGGTACTTAAAATTTATCCATCTGATGATGATTTTCCTTTCTGTTAGCACCAGATTCCATTGTCAGCACGACTGAGAAGTGGCTTAGAGTGCCCAAATTAGCACTTTATTTATTTTTGTTCTATTCAATAAACCTGTAAAATGAAATCAGGTTGGTGCTGATTTCTTTCTTAAATACCAAATATAGCTTAACTCTAATTTGTTATCTTTATGTTCACTTTTAAATGCATATGCAGTTATATGCATTTCATTCTGGTATTTCATATATGTGTGTTTCAAAGGTTGAGCATATTATTTAATTTGTTTGCATTTGAAGTTCTTAAAGCTTTAAGGTATTTAGTGGTTGAGTTTTGTGTAACCTGTACTTGACATTTCTGCCATTAATAATAGGAGGTGTATCTGTTATGGTAGAACCATAGAGCTTGCAGAGCCTTTGTGGTTAAGAGACTTCAGCCTCATATAGATTTGAGTTTCCAGATGTCACATGCTCTGAGGTAGTAAAAGAAGCACATGAGGCAAGAGTTAGATGCTGAGCACCATGCTAAAATTACAGAGCTTTACTTTTTTAGTGTATCTCTTGAAAGTAGCAAAAGGCTGACCTAATAACAAAGATAAAGCATGTTTTTATTGTTACAAGTATATATTCCTTGTGATGTTTGAGTATTCAAAAGGAGTCTAAAGCTTGAATAACACTGCAATGTTTTCGTGCTGGAACACAGCTGCTACACACACACAAGCTGCTAGAGTATCTAAACAAATTTAGCATTTTCATCTGTATAAAAAGATGTTTTGTGAAAGTGTAGAGTGTAATAAGTGTGCATATCACAAGTGAACTAATGAGCACTTCAGCTACTGATTTTTTTAATGACTTTTTATCTATGTCTGCATAAGCTGTTAGAAAGAAATCTGTGTCAAATAAATATTTTGGTGAAACATTTGTGCTTTCTCTTTAAGTCATACTGATGTATTCGTCAGGAGAAAATGAAGCTGATTTTAGAAAAGTGGGATATACAGTAGTTTAAGATTGTTAGGCTGTGCAATTATAAACAATAGATGATACCTTGCATCACAGTTTCTCAGTGTTAGTGCTTTATTAGACTGATTGTTATTTCTTGTCTGGTAATAGCTACAATTTGTTAAAGTGACAAAAGTGGTGGGCAGTTTAATACTGATACTAAGTTTGAGTTCACTTCAGATTTACAAAGGCTGTTGAGCAAACGTGCAGAGGTGCCATTATCATTGTACGTCTCGCATCGTTACAGTGCAACAAACATCTGTTGATTCTGGGCATAGAACATTTTCCAGTGTAGCCAAAATTCTGGAATTTGGAAGAATAATCACTTGTTTTCATTAGAGAATCCCTCTAATGTTTTTACTTTTTTTTTTATATCATTTCACTGTTGATATTATTGAGTGATCTTACACTTGCAGTTCGAAAACTCTTCCTGCGCACACTTCGGAGGTAATTGCGATAAAGGATGACACTGATGACTCTAGCCTGAAATTGTTTAGAAACAATATAGTACAGTATAACATCCAAGCAAGTACTGAGGTTCATGAGAAAGGTGGTAAAGGCTGCCCATGGATTGTAACTTGTACCTTCGTTTAACATCATGAGGGCAAAGCAAATGTGGAAGGGTACAAAACACACAAGTACTTGAGCAATCAAAGTAACTATGATTCTTATGGATCTCTCCTTGGCCTTAGGCTTCAACTTGGAAGTCTTGCCATGGATAAAATTGTAAATAATGACTAGGTAGCACCCCATCATGATAAGCAAGGGAATCAAAAAGAAAAATATCAAGCGAGAAAAGTTCAACATATTTACTTCCTTTAAGTGGATGATATCGAGCATTTTCATGCAGGTGGTGAAATTGCAGGTTTTGTCTGGATCAGAACGTAGAAAGAGCAATGGGGAAGTTGTTGCAAGGGTCATTATCCAGATCCCTGTACAGGCCAGCAGAGCTTTTTTTGTATTTTTCAGTTCTTTGATATGTTTGGGCTGGACAATAGCCATAAATCTGTCTACACTTATGAAAGCAAGCAACCACAGAGCAATGGCTGGATAAAATACAGTGAAAGCACTGATAATCCGACAGAATATATCTCCAAAAGGCCATGTTTCTTTCCCATGGTAGATTATCCGAAAAGGCAAGAAAAGTATAAAGATTATGTCAAGTAATGCCACATTCATCATGTATATGGTTATAGTGGTTCTCTTCTTGGTAGTGCAGCTGAAAACCCATAGTGCCGTGGCGTTCACTACCAGTCCTACTATGAATACAAAACTGTAGAAGACCAGTGATGAAATCCTGTATTCTTCAGGGTAGTGATTCTCAGGTATCATATCGTAATTGGTTTTAGGAATAGTTGTTGCACCCCATTGAAACCCTGAAAATAGAAGACAGAGGAAAATTATTCTTCAAGTAAAAACTTTCTCTAAAAAAACAAATGCAAATTTTTATAGAAAATTTAGGGGTTTTGTATTGTCTGGTGGAAAAAAAGAGTGCTACTTTTTAGTTGCTTTTTCTGACTGAATACATACTGTGCCATGAAGAAAGTACATGTGCTGTCAGACTTATGAGAAATAGTTTTGATAAGCTACATTAATTAAGTATAGAGTTACTTAAGAGAAATGAGAAAGTCAAGATTGCTCAACTATTTTTGAATGCATTCCAATAGCTGATAATTAGATAGAAATGGCTGTCATTGAAATAACAGAGCTATTTTCTAAAGAATATTTCTTCAGCTTGGTCCTGCTGAAAAAAATTGACTATTTATGTAAAGAAAGAAGTGAGAGTAACATGTTGTAACATTTGGATATGCTAAGTGAGGTATTTACATTGCATTTTAATGGTGTGGAAACTATGCAGATCTCAAAAGAATATGTGCGTGTATGCTGTTGCTCATGGAAGACATTAAAAATCTATCTTAATAGCTCTGTGGGTTGAATAAAGTCTTTATTACCAGAGCTTCAGAATGAACCATCCAGTGTTCCTTCTTTCAGCTGGGAGTCTGAAATCTCAAATTTCATTGTGCAGACTCAACTGATAAGATTGTCCCCGTCTTATTCTGGAGCCACTTGAGGAAGGCAGGTGTTACCTGATACTTGCAGGGGTGTTTTTGTGAGTCCACCCTTCCCCCACTTTCCTGGCTGTCTGTTTTATTACACTGTGACTTCGCATGGGGGAGCTTCTCTGGTTTGGCTTTTTACCCAGCCCTGTGGCAACTTTCTGAAGAGGAGGAGGAAAGAGTGAGTTGGTTGGTTGACTGATCTTCCAATTTGTGACAAGCATCTGAATAACTCCAGCAGCGTAATTTCATAGAATCACAGAATGGTGTGGATTGAAGGGACCTCAAAGCCCATCCAGCCCCAACCCTCCTGTCATGGGCAGGGCTGCCCCCCACCAGCTCAGCTGCCCAGGGCCCCATCCAACCTGGCCTTGAGCACCTCCAGGGATGGGGCACCACAGCTTCTCTGGGCAGCTGTGCCAGCGCTTAAGCGCCCTTTGAGTAAAGAATTTCCTCCCAGCATCTAACCTGAATCTCCACACTTTTAGTTTAAAGCCATTTCCCTTTGTCCTGAGGCAGCAGAACTTTCTCAAGAGAAGAGGGATGCAGAGTTCCTGTGTGCTTATCTCCCAGAGAGATAATGGAGAATGCACTGAAATAAAAATTCTTTAGTAAAGCTCCACTATTTTATGCCTTTGTTGTGATGCTTACCAGGCACTTTATACATGGTATAGAATCTTCCCTACTGGATTGAAACAGTGTCTATTTTGGGTAGATGGCATATGTGTGACAGAAAATATTGTAGCACATGCTTGTATCTGAAGTAATATTTAATGTACCGTCCCAGTTTTATTATTGTTACATAAATTTGTCCACATATTGCTAGAAAAAAATCCAACACATTTAAATAAATTCTTTTTGCATTGTTGGAAATGATTCAGAAACTTTATTTCAAAACAGTTTTTCAACAAAGCTGAACACTCATGCTAATGTTCAATGTTAGAAATATTCTTAAAATTGTGGATTTAAAGTCCTCATAAGCTTTAATTAAAAAAAAAAGTCCTATTTTTTCCCTTGTATTTTCTGTTGCTGATGGTTGTTTATGACAGAGTACATTACTACCTATATTCAGATCCTGACCAGTCTGTAAACTGAATACTAACATATAAGACAGGTAGAAGAATTCAGTTTTTATAGATGAATGTTAATAAGGGACATGAGTTTTGGTTTTGCTCTCCCCTTTGGACTTGCAGTAACCGTAGTCATTTCCAGTCAGGTCTTGTTTCTGTAATAACTAGCATGTTGATGTTGATGGGAAGAGAGGAAGCTGAATCTGGTTTGAGTTTGTAACAGGAAAACTGGGGCTGCATGGCTTATTTGCAGATCATTTCTAAGTGATAGCAGTTATTTCAGAGAATGGATGTACTTTAACAGAAAGTGTTTTTTTTCTTTAAATTTAGTTTACTTGTTGAAGTCAGTATTGCCAAATGTTATGTATTTATTGTAAATATACTTTTTAAGAATCCAAAATTTGACATTTATATAGTTAAGAATTAATTATGTTTGGGGGATGTTTATGTTTATACACAAGTACAATGATTCAGTTGTTTTTCTTTTTTTTTTTCCTCCCATCAGTACTTGTCTACCTGGATTTCAGGTTTACATCCCACAGATCAGTCCAAGTAGGTCTTCATGTATCTCTGGTTGGACAGTTTTGCTTGGGTTGCTATCTTTCATAATGGGAGCATTTCATTTTTTCTGTTTATAAAAGCGCTTAAAATCGTGGAATCATTTGAGTTGAAAAGGACCCTTAAAGGTCATCTAGTCCAACTCCCCTGCAACGAACAGGGTCATCCACAGCTGGATTAGGTTGCTCAGAGCCCCATCCGTGAATGTCTCCAAGGATGGGGCATCTACCACCTCTCTGGGCAGCCTGTTCCACTGCCTCACCACCCTCATTTTAAAAAAACTCCTTCCTTGTACCCAATCTAAATCTTTCCTCTTTTAGTCTGAAACTATTTCCTTTGTACTATTATAGCAGACCCTGCTAAAGAGTCTGTCCCTTTCTTTCTTATCACCCTCCTTTGCTGGACAGCCACTCTCAAGTCCCCATGGAGCCTTCTCTTCTCTGGGCGGAACACTTTCTGAATAGCTCCTAGAATTACTGGTTTCCAGCTGTCTGTGCTGATCTTGAATTACTGACCTGACATCAGTCCATATGTTATGTCAACATGTTTTATATTTTAATGATGGCTGAGGTTCTTAGTAACTAACAAGAATTGTAAAGTCTATCTAGATGCCCTGGGCAAGAACAGAAACTTTCAGGGCAAAACTAGAATTAATTATTTTCCTTTAGAGTTTTACTATGAGTAAATCCCATTCTAAGGATTTTCTGTGTATCTCTTCCCAAACCCTCAACTCTCCTCCTGCTTTTTTTGTCTCTTTCTATCCCTTACATTTCCTCACATTTCATCAAGGAGGACATATCCTTCAGTGGATCATAGAGAGACTAAGCAACAAGATAGTTTTGTGTTTTTCATTTAATGAAAATGAGTAATGTTTTCTTTATGATAACATCCTGTTTTAGTTATTACATATTTTTAAATTCATTGTAAAAAAAACCCGAACAACAATGATTGTGAGACTATTATTTATACAAACACATTCATTTTGCTTTGAACGTTACTTAGAGAATGCTGCTTATGGTTTGAAGGCATTAAGCATACTAAAGAATTACATTTCAGTTCATTAGTCCCAGAATATACACCTGTGTTCAGCTTCTGAAGAAAGAAGTAAGTCTTAACACTACGCATATACATCCAAGTTACTTTACTGATGCGAAGTAATGGTTTGTAACTTACGTTTTGTGCAGTACAAAGTGTCAGCTGCCATGCTTGCTTCATAGTCCCTTGTCTGTAGAAGCTTTAGACTTCCTCTTTTCTCGTCAGCCTCACTATGCTATAAAATAGCTCTTCACAGCAGGAAGCAGTGACGCAATCTAGCTAGTTTTGAGCTTGCTATTGGTCATACTTAAAAGTGTCTTGTTAGTATTTCATATGCATACAAGTTATCTTGCAGAATCTGTGACCTCGTAGTTCTCACACCTTTATATAACATTTCCAGTGTGGCCAAGCTGGGCAGTTGTACTAAATATCATTTTAAAATACTTTTTGAATTGTTTATGATAAAGGCCAGGCTGGATGGGGCTGTGAGCAACCTGGTCTAGAGGGAGGAGTCCCTGCCTATAGCAGGGGATTGGAACAACATGATCTTAAAGGTCCCTTCTAACCCAAACCATTCTTTGATTCTATTGTAAAGAAGCCTGCTTTGGGTTGATATTTTACACAAGGGTAAGGGCAAAAAATACACACCTTTGTTGTGGAAAGTTTCTAATAAGCACAATGCTAAAATATTCTCTTTAGACTGCAGTCATTTTCATGGAAATCCCCGTTTTATTTAAATTGGCTGGGGTAGTATTCAGCCTGAAAGTGAGAGGAGCTCACTGTGTTTTAAGTGAGAAGTTTGATTCACTGGAAGACTTTGCTTGGTTTCTATCTGCACTGACCATAATTTAGTAACACCGTGGCAGTGCCTTGCAGTCTGAAAAATAATGACTCTCCTATTTAACAGCTTTGCAGAAAAAGGCTTTGTAAAGAATGTTTAGCCATTATTGAAATGGAATAAAATCTATCAACTGTGTCCCAACAGACACCTGTGATGGGATGGGAATATCCTCAGTAGCTAATAGCTAAGGGAGACAGTCAACAAATCAGTTGAAATCAGAACTTTAAAAGAGCCATTTGGAGAAGGAGATATTCCAGGTTCTCTGCAGCGTGGTCATCAGTGGCAGTTCTCAGGCTGTCATTAGGATGTTGAAGAAGGCCACAAAGAGCTTGTTACCTCTGTTTGCCTCCATTTTTTTCCTCTGCCAGTGAACTGATAAGTGATATGTGTTGAGGAAGGGAACAGTAGTATTTTGATCTCCTCCTGACGTGCAGTCAAGAATTTGCCAGGATTGCACGTGGTTCCAGAAGCAACAAAGTCTTATAGCCCAGACATAGCCAGAATCAGGTTTGTTTGTAGGATCACCCTTTTTCACTGACTGTAAGAGTAATGTCAGCAGGTGATCCCCACCTAGCACTGAAAATAACTTCTGTGAAGAATATGCTCTGCCCTGGAGTCATGTAATCTGTCTCGGTTCAATGGGCTTATGGTAGTGCATAGATATTTGCACACATCAGTGACAGATGACCTAACCACAAGGTGGGGTTTGGTATAGTTTCCAGTATGTAGATAGGTGCTATCTTTAAACATTTGGACTTCTCTTTTCAGATGAGCTGATACTTAATTTTTGTAATCATTTCAAAGATCTCTCAGGTGCAACGAGCTATAAATCCTGCCCACTCCATCCCATAGAAATATCAATAGTTAAGCACTGCTTAATATTTTTGGGTTAAAGACTATTTTAAAAAGACGTGTTTTACAAAAGAACAGGTGAAGGACTAAACAATGTTGAAAACTAAGTGGCTTTATCCTTAGCATAACAACTCTGGAACATGGTCCAGAAGGATGAGTCGCTCATGCTGTTCTCAAGTTTAGTGAAAGGTCACTGAAGTCCAGTGACACAGATATTGTTGAAAGGTTTAAAAAAAGAGTGTGCAGCTCCTGAAAAAGAATACCTGGGCTTTTCAGCTCTTGTGGACAGGAGCGTTTTATTCTTTGGTAACAAATCTCCAAAACTCCTGAGACACCTTCAACTTAAGCTGTGCTATGGGCGTACTTGTATAAGCAAATGGAGAGGCACTGTTCCCCAGAGCTAAAGAGAGAGCACAAAATTAATTCTGGGTGCATGCTGGGTGTGAACACTTGCACTGGCTGTGGTTTGAGGGAGGTAGCTGGTCTCTCTGCTGTGCTGCATTCCCCTGGTGCTGCAGCTTCTGTTGTAGGAAGCACCTGCTGTTCTTTCTGTTTGCCTCTTATTCTGTACTGTTTTGTCAGCTAGAGATGAGTGTCTCACAGTGGTTTTCCTCGGAAGGGAGTGTTTACTGAAATGAATGCTCAGTTCCATCCAGGGCTGTTTTTTGTTTTGTTTTGTTCTGATGTTCAGGGAGAATGCTAGCTTCTGTTAAAGCCACCTTTGAATAGTTCAAAGCTAAGCCAACGTGCCTCATGTCTGAGCGTAAAGCACAGTGCATGTGTGGTCTGCTGCCCTGACTTCACTAGCAGCTGGTAAGCCTTAAAAGAAGTCAGTCTGATCACTCGCAACGATGTCAAAGTGCATCACTGAGGGGACTGTCTTTATGCTGTTGTTCTTGCAGGAGACAGGTAGTGCTTGGATTTCTTTCTCGGTGGTTTACTTATAATACAGCAGAGTGCATTTTGCCTGTCTGCTTACCACATCATGTAAGCTGAAGTTCTGCACTGAAGGGGCAGAATAATTACCCTCTTCCTTGGCTTGAGCTTGTGTTTTCCATTTCTTTCTAAACTTGGCATCGTTTGGACTGGTTGGAAAGAATGAACTGAAGCTTCTTGCACAGCCAGTGGTACAGGAAGCAGCTGTCCCCATGAGCCAGCCTGTTCACTTACCAGCCTGCTGTTGTGGGTGAGTTCACAAATGCAATTTTGGGTTACAGTTCTCAATCATGATGAAATTGTGCCTCGCTTTTTATACCCATATTGTGTTGTACCATGGTGAAGGCCATGAATAATAGACCACCAATTAAAAGTTGTGGTGGCAATAAATGCATAAATTCCTTGCAGGTTTTTTTCCGGCTTTGGCGTATGTTACTCAGAGGCTGGGTTCTGGTATAGCTTCTCTTGTGCAACAACATTGAGTAATTATAAGTGCTGTGTGCAGCAGAGCTGCTGGGATGGGAAACAGAGCAACTGAAGGGGGCTGCAGCCTAGCTAGCCATACCTGGCACGTTCTGCTTGCTGTCGTGTATTGCCTTTCATTCTGGGGTTAGCTAAAATTTGGTATAGTTTGAGAGTGGAGTTCCTGGTTTTCCCTTAAAAAAAAATCAGTAAATCAGTAGTGAAATTGCTATTCTATATTTCTCTTAAGGTTTTGTTTGTTTGTTTCTGTGCAGCCAGGGCACATCCCATGTGACTAAATACCCTAAAAGTAAGCAGTGCATCAGACTGACAGTTCCTCTGCTCAGCAACATTAGCCTTTGAAAGAAGCAATATTGCAAAGATTTGTTGAGTTGTATTGAAATTTCTAGTAGTGGACTAGAGATAGCAGTTTGTTACACTGCAGCAGTCTCACCATCTGTGTAGTCGCAAATGGTTGATAGCTCATCCCTGGAGACTTTCAGGGTGAGGCTGAATCAGGTCCTGGGCTACATATCTATGTGGATGTCTCTGTTCATTGCAGGGAAATTGGACTAGATGACCTTTAAAGGTCCCTTCCAGCTCTAAGGATTCTATATTACCCCATGCCAAATACCAAAACAGAATCTCAGAATGTCCTGGGTTGGAAGAGACCTCAAGGATCATGAATCTCCAACCCCACTGCCATGTGCAGGGCCACCAATCTCCCCATTTAATACTAGCCCAGGCTGCTCGGGTCCCCATCCATCTGACTTTGAACACCTCCAGGGACGGGGCATCCACAACCTCTCTGGCCAGCCTGTTCCTCAGGCCTCAGAGCCTCACTGCTCTCATAGTAAAGAACTTCCCTCTGACATCCAACCCAAATCTCCCCCCCTTCAACTTAAAACCATTTCCCCTTGTCCTGCTGTTATCCACCCTTTCAAAGAGTTGATTCCCCTCCTGTTCGTAGGCTCTCTTTAGGTACTGAAGGCTGCAATGAGGTCACCCTGCAGCCTTCTTTTCTCCAGGCTGAACAAGCCCAGCTCCCTCAGCCTGTCTTCATAGGGGAGCTGCTCCAGTCCCCTGATCATCTTCGCGGCCCTCCTCTGGACCCTCTCCAACAGCTCTCTGTCTTTCTTCTACTGGGGGCTGCAGATATGGACGCAGTACTGCAGATGGAGCCTCAGAACAGCAGAATAGAGAGGGACAATCTCCTCCCTGTCCCTGCTGGCCGCCCCTCTTCTGATGGAGACAAAACACCTCCATGCTTGTGGATGAAATCTATATTGCCTATGGCAGATTTCTTAAAATATTGTGTCTGTGTTCTGCTCTCCACCTTTGTTCTGTTACATTGAGAAACACCTTTTCTTTTACCAGAAGTACAGATTTCCCATCACAAAGATTCTGTAATTATTTAAAATCAGTATGAATATTAAGCTTTAAAAAAAAATATGATTGAAATTGTCAGGGCTATGATATGCAATGAGGTAGTTTCTCCTGTGAGGAACTGTCCAGGTGACTTTTTTCAAATATTCCTTCTGGACTGATTATGCAGCGTGTGATATTTTTACTGTTGAACAGCTCAGGTGTGTAGGAGTAGTGTTTTGAAACTCAGTGTGCCTCCCAGGCATGCAGTTAGTGTTTCAAAAGAAATTTTTTTATTGAGAGCTGTTATATTCAAGATGTTCGATGAAGTCTGGTGCAGAAGGTAGGGAAAATCATTTTGACTCCTCCAGAGCTCAGGAGCTTGGACAACCTCTGCTTAGTTACCAGCCGGAGGATATATAATTATAAATTAAATCATTAAAAAGTGCTCCATGTGCTTTAGCACATCAGTGAAGTGCCAGAAATCAGAGTGAGCTGCAGAATTAGAAAAAGCAATGTCCTTTAAGTTCAAGGACACCTTTCTCTGTGTGGCATTTCTGTGCTTGGTGCCCAGCCCTGGCAGGTAGCTCGCTGTCATGAAGTGACAGTCTTCTGTCACTCCTGTGCTATTCTGCCCGTGCCACCTGTCTCTGGCACAGATTAATGAATACAGAGATGTGTTGAGGTTGTGAAGCTTGGTTTGCTGCAGTCGGTGAGGGTGAGCTGATATGAAAAGAAGTATTCAAGAGAGGAGGGGTTGTTGCTAACCATATGGACAGGCCAAAGCAGCTCAGGTCCTGCCATGGAGCAGCGGGTCTCCATGGAGCAGGGTTGCTTGGTGTGTCCTCAGCACTGTTCTTGGAAAGGAGAGGAGGATAAGGTGAGCACAAGTGTGCTCAGGGCATGGAACAGGCACCTGGGTGCTGGGACAGGTCCAGCTGATGCTGAGAGCTGGCAAAGCAAGACAGCAACTGGCTGCTGGCAAATGGTTTCAGA